TTATAGGGGCCAAGGCACTTCAGCCATAAGCCTTTCTCCTTGTGCTTCCTCATTCCTAGAGTCAGGTGAGCTTCTGCAAGCCTGGATACCAAGCACACAAAATGTCCCACACCTGCTTGTTTGCCATCATTCATGTCTGCATTAGCTCCAGAACTGGCTTTGCCTCTTTTCATCGTCTGTATTCTGAAATATGCCAGGGCTCCAAGCTCACTAGCCTTCCTAGTGCTTGACTCTTGTTATTTTTGCTTTTGGTGAAGAAGCCAACATGATGGAGAACTGCTGCCACCTAAGATGCTGAGTGAGAGTCCTTCCCCCTCTTCCTCACCCAGCACCCCTGGCTTCCCTTCCCCAGCCACAGGCCTCTCTGAATCAGACCACAGTCTTCAAGGATAGTGGCTTGCCACTTCAGCAGTTGGAGCAGGATGAGGGAGAGGAGGTAGAAAACACAGTGGGACATGGGAATAACCACTACCATCTCACTTCACAAGCCTATGCCCTTGGCATGTTCACAGGGGCAGGGATCATCCATGCATGCGCAGTGGAGGGGCAGAGCACAAGATGCTAGCAGTAAAAATACTCTCTGCTCTTATCGTAAAGGGATCAGTGACCCAGCATGCACACAGCTCCTGGCAAACCTCCCAAGGAAAGGCTGACTCTCATTGTTAGCACATGATGTGTTTATAGTGAACTCTGAAGGAAACCTTCTTCTGCCTTAGTGAGTTGCATAGATCTGTTTCACTTGGTTGCCACTGTGGTATGAGGTCAGCAGTGCTTCCTGTAAGAGAGAGCCTGGAGCTCTTCTTTCCCTTCCCTATCACCCCTCATCACTTTCCCAGAGCATCCAAGAAGGGCATCCCCACAAGTCCCACACAAACTGCACAGGGTACAGGATACTGCCTGTAGCTCCAGAAGTGCCTGAGGATCTCTGGGACAGACACTCTTCACAAGCTGGGAACATTGCCCATAGCTCAACAAGATGTGGTGACAGCGCTCACAACCCAGAGCTCCAGCCAGGATCCTTGGATGCATCTGAGTTAGTACACCCATCACAGCTGCATACTGCAGAGCTTGCTGAGGCCAGGAAAGGTCTTCAAATCTGATGTGACTTTTTTTCTGGAGGGTTTGCAGCCACAGAAGAGATAAAGGCATGGCAGTGTTCACATCCCATCAACATCACTAGATGCAAGTAATGTGGAGAGCAGGGCCCACCATCAGTCCTCTGCCCCAACACAAGGCACCTCACAGCAAAATCGCAGCAGCAGCACACTGTGTTTTGGGGAACACTGGCAGCAGAGAGCCTCACCAGGAGTAGAAAGAGAGCCCAAGTGTGAGTGCTAAGTCAAGTTGCCTCTTAACAGTTCCTCTCCAGACTCAGGATGTGGTCCTACATTTTATTCCTCATGTGAGAGCATGGTCCATGGGGAAGGAAGCTTTCCAGCTTCCCAGCCTTCTTGAAGTGACGAGGAGCATGGTAGCAGGGCCTGTCTTCAAAGTAACAGCCTTTGCTTGCAGTCAGTCATGAAGTTCAGACTTTCATGGCCCTGCAGTAAATTTAGGTCTCAGTCCTTCCTGTGATGGGTGTGAAGTGTTGCAGTGTATAAAGAATTGAAAGTCTCTTGTTTTCCCATTCATAAAAAAAGAATAAAGAAAGCATCATTTTCTTTTTTTTTTTTTTTTTTTTAAAAAAGACATATGATGAAATATGCCATTTGGCTTGCTAAGCCGAGCACTTGAATGTGAGTCAATACCTGCACAACCTTAATTCAGCCACTTGCATGTATACATTATAACACAGCCTGCTTACCTGAGCAAGTACTGTTTCTTTTTTTCACAGGACCTTGTTCCATACTCAGTGCAAAGAACACATGATACTCAAGCTAACAGTGAGGATGTTGTAATAAATAAAGCTATTTTTATATGGTCAGCATTAAATATTAAACCACAGTTTTGGCAGGTGGCCCCAGTCTATACATTCCTAATTTTGTGGGTGCCCAACACGAGACCCTAGGGGCCATTTTGCGGAACTGCTGAGCACTCACCCCTGTTTTCCAAAATGCTGGCATCTTAGCCAGCATACTGGTACAGTTTTGAGGACTCAATGACAGAGCCAAGAGACCCCAAGCTCTGGTCCTACACCTGCTGCTCCTTCCCCATGTGGCTAAAGGGGAAGTCTCTCTTCTGTTCAAGAGCAAAGAAAATAACCACTCTCTCTTGCCTCATCAGGAGCATAAATTCTCTGTTATCACCTACAAGGCAACTGTAGCAGTGAGCATCTCCAGAACACTGCAAGACAATGAATAATGATGTATTGCCTGCAGGGCTTGGATGGCAGGCAGTAAACAAGTAAAATGGGCACACACTTTGCAGTACCAAAAAAAAAAAAAATCAAACCAGCCCTCCGCTTCACTCCCTGAGCACCATGTAGCCAGTGCTCTGAATGAGGTAGCTTATGAAAATACAGCTTGTGATCCTACCAGTCAGGACTGCAACCCAGTGCAGATGGCATGCTGCCCCCAGTCCCGACATTTCCTAACTTTCAACTGCTTGTTTTTGCAATGTGAATAAAACTGTATTTCACATAATCCCACCCCTCACAGTCTGGAATTGAGCTGGTTTATACAAAAAAAAACCTTCTTGCTATTAAGATACCCTCAGCCACACAGAGCATTTTTGTGAGCCAGCATTTTGGTAATGCCATGGCAGGAATAAGGTATGTATTACAAGGTATTTCCATGCAACAGGGACAGAAACATCCCAGGACTCCAACTCCAGCTTCTTCTCACCGGGAACTGGAATGTGTGTCATGGTGTAGCAAACTGGAGTATTACTCAGCTGGCAGAAGCATCCCAGTATGGTCATTTGAATTATGGCTTGAGCCACCCAGGAGTGGGACAGATGTCAAGCGGTGTAAGCAGCAGCTTGTAACCAAACATGGCAAGTGAAGGAAACTGCCTGGTCTCTCTTCTGAATCAGCAACAGGCAAGTGCTGAATAGTCACTGAAGAACTGCCCAGAAATGCCCTCCCACAGGCTTGAGCCTGTCCCCATTCTGTTCCAGCCTCTGCTGCTCATGGATGCTCCTGCCCAAGTATCCTCATGGCCCTGTGCTGCTGCAGGCCCTCCCTGCTGCATCAAGGCACAGGTCAGCCTTCATCAGGCTCTGTGGTGCTGAAGAGCCTAGAAAATCCTTTCTGCATCAGGCATAGAAAAGCCAGAGGAGGGGCAGAAATCTGAAGTAGCTCGTGAAGATATCTGAGCTGGGAGTGCACCTTGCTGGCATGTGGCATTCACTTTGCTGGAGGCAAGGGTAAAGCTATGATCTGGTATAAAAATTACATAAGAAGGCTTCCCCCCTTTCTCTTCGCAAACAGCCCCTATGCTCAGGATTTACCATAGTTTCTCCGAGTGGGCAAGATACACTAACAGAAGCTGCACTGATGTCTGACAGGGAGACAACTCCCGCAAGCCTTTCACTCATGTGGAATAATTGCCTTGCAAATGTTGTTTGCCCACAGCAGTTAGAGGAAGATCTCCCCCCACCCCCAACAGACCCCAGTGGCAAAGCTCAGAAGAAAAATGGTCTGCAATTCTGGAAAGGCACCCCCTTCTCCTCACTGCTAGAGATGTCCCCTGCTTTGTGACAAGCCCCTGTGTGCCTTTAAGGGTCCCCTTGTCTTTTAAGGGTTTCCTTCTTTAAACCCTGCAATAGCAGCTACTCCAGCCCTTCCCCAAATGAGATCTTCATTTCTCCCTCCATCCTTGGGTGGCAGATCAGGCACTGGCAGCAGAGCAGTGCTGTACCCCACTCACTACCATTGCCATAGAGGATGTGTTGGAGGTGGCACATTCAGGTTACCTGACAGTCCGCATGGCAGGCTTGGGGCCCGGCTCGGTCATGACCTGGTTGGAGCAACAACTCCAAACATTCCCCAAACCAGGAGAGCTCAAATTTTACACATCTCTCTTAATTATCATGAGATACAGTGGCAGTAATAAACTGGGCAGGCAGAGGGAGAAGGCGGGGGCAGAATGCCCTGGGTGGGATGTATATGTGCACGTGTCAGTGCATGTGTATATATGCACACGTGTATATGTGCACACACACATACATATATGCTAACGCTTACATATATACTCCTATCCATAGAAGGCTTCACATCAACTCATTTGGGACTTCATTCTCCCCCTTTCCTTCCAGGCAGGGCTGGAAAAGGCCGTGAAGTTTTTCTGTGCTGTGTTTCACCCCCACCCTCGGTGCTGTGCCTTCCACCCAAAAGTTCAGAAATGTCAGGCTCACCTTGCAGGGATGGTGGAAGCAACTTGGGATTTATTTTTGGCTCTACTTGTGATATAGCATCCTTCACTTCATGTCCTAAGGTCCATGCACTTTGTGTGTGAAATTGTATATGCACACACACACACAATATACACGCCCTCATCTTAAAGCTGTGTATTGAGTGCTGGACCTGTCCAATTTTGGTCCTCACTTCTCCATTTCAGTTTGTTCCTACTAAGACAGGTGAGACCAAAATGATATCCTGCAAAGCCACCATGGGTCAGGTGTGTGGCACCTTGCATGCTGTCCCCTCTCCCAGCCCCACGGAGGGAACATAAGCCAGGGGTCACTGGGACCTGCCCAGTACCTGGTGACCACAGCACCAAGCGCTTCTCTTTAAAGCTGCACCTGAGCTACTGGTGCTGCAACACAAGACACTGGTGCCATTCACAGCTGGGAGAAGTTGCTCCTAGCTGCCTGCACTGAAACTGGACTGGAACCAGTACCACCACCCTCCATGGTGGGTTTGTTGTTCTGACTTATAAGGAAGACCACTGCCCATCAGCCTCACACAACTGCGACTTCTGCACTGTGCCATCTGGCAGACAGTGCTGCCCCTGACCACTGCTCTCCTCCCTGGGGAAGCTGGTTCCTGGGGTCAGCTTCACTGATCTCACATAGCTGGGGATGGGGGGAAAATGCAAAGGAGAGACATCTTTACTTACCTCTCTCGGGCTGGGATGGACCCTCCTGTGAGAATGGCAGCTCTTCCAGCAAACCTGATACAATCCCGAAGCAAATCCAGCAGAAAGTCCCTCCGTTGCTGGCTGGGTTCTTGGTAGACCCTAGCTGGCAGGAGCCCCTCCTAGCCAACCACTCGCTCTGTGTGGAGGGCAGAGGAGCTGCACAGTGAGATGGCAGCGTGGGAAAGGGACTGTAATCCTCCGTAAATAATAAATAGGGGGAGAGGGAAAGAGAGAGAGAGAGGCGGGAGAGGGAGCGATTGCGCGCAGCAAAGTGACAGCTGGGGGTACATCTGTGATGGCAGGAGCACACGCACAGGAGCGCGCACAGAGTGCAGAGGAGTCACCCCGCCAGGCAGGCAGGATCTGCTCTGAAACACCCAGAGGAAGGAGCTCAGGAGGTTTTCATTTCTCTCAACCCATCCTGGAGAAAGAGCAGTTGCTGTCAGTCCCTCTCCCTCCCTCTTCCCCAGCTTGCTGTCATCCCTCTCCGGGTGCCGAGAGCCGAGAGGCACAAGGAGGGGTGAGAAGCTGCGGGGTGGGGGGAGCTCCCCACAGCCCCTCAAGAGGCAGATTGGTCAGGCACAGGTTCTGAGAGGAGGCACCGCGCTGAATGCCTCCTCCCCTCCCTCCATCTCTCCCCTGCCTAGTATGGCTGATGACAATAAACCTGAAGAGAAAGGCGTGAGGAGGGTTTTGTATAGGGGTGAGGTGAGTGGCTGCAGCAAGGGAGAAACCAGGGGGGTTGGGATCAAGGGACCCCTTTCCCACCAGTGCTCCAGAGATGGCAGGGGGCAGGCAGTGCGTCCAACAGAAAGACTTAACTGAGAGATGCCCACGGCGGGCTGGTCGCATCCTGGTCAGCCACAGCAGGTGTCCCCAGCAGCCAAGCACACAGGCTGCTGTAATGCTTCCCTGCTTGGATGCAGCACGACCCAGTGTCTGTTTCCTTGGGGATTCAGGAAAAACTTGAGGAGTGCTGGTAGGGGGTAGTTGGGACAAAGGTGAAAGAGAGGAGCATTTGTACCCATGGTTCGCTCCCCTGAATTTGTTGTGCAGTGGGGAAAGTGTGCTGAGCCAATATGTGCAGAGCAAGTGTCAGATGCAGTTACATCCATGCAGTGACAGAGGCATCCCCTGCCCTCCCCAACACAGCCTGATGGTACAGGGGTGCAGTAAGCACCCAAATTCAGCCCAGTGCCTTTGTCATGCTTCTGTCTGTGCTTTCCCACAGGCTCCTGCAGCCTGCCCTTCCCTGAAATCAGACCCTTCTCTTGCCTTCCTCCAGCTTGCTGAGGACCTTGGTAGTTCACATTTGCAAAAATTACTCTTTTGCTGATACACTTGAACTGCCTCTTCTGTCAGGTGCAGTATCATAAGATATCTTGGTTTGGACTTTTTGTTAATTTAAATTTGCCTAGAAATTATTTTTCAAGAAAAGTTTTTAGGGGATGTCAAATAAAATTTCCAGTGGGGCAGCTCCAATGCTGGCTCAAGAAGGAAAATAGGAATATTTCAGAAATAGGGAATAGGGAATGCAAATGGGCGGTACTAGCAGGGCTGTTCTGCTGCTCTGGCACCTTCTTCCATTTGAATCACAGGTTTTATTTAACCATTGGAGCAGCTGCCATGAAAACAGGTTGTGAGTAGCAAGGTAAATCTTGATAAGCACTCTACAGGATGTAATCTTGCAACTCCTTGTTATGCCTTTTTGTCATGTGGCAGGCCCAAGAATTATATCTTAAGGAAAACTCTTTATGAGAACAGCGTATAGATAATTAAAAAGAGGAGCCAGTGAAGGTGGACAGAGAGACAAGCAGAGGATGAGCTAATGAGGCAGACATGCTCAATGGGGGGATGAGCAGGTAGAGGGGAAGGCTCTTATCTCCACAGTGAATGGCAGCACATGACTCTGGAGAAGGCTAGCCCCAGCTGTGCAGTGGGCACAGCTTGGCTTTGCAGGCAAGGTGTCTGCTGGTGGGAAGTTGTGCACAGCTCTGGGTAGCTCGTCGACATGGTGAAGCAACATCTAACTATGCAAGGTGTGCCGCATTGCTTGTCCTCATGTTTTATTTCATTGCGGGGATGCCACGGTTGCACAAGTTGTTTGCACATTACTAGTAATAAAACTATTAGCCATGGTCTCTCCAAGGACTCTATGGTTGTTGATGTTCTGCACACCAGGGCCACTCACCATTTCACAGACCTCAGATCTTCCTGCTCATACAGCATACTCTTTGCCACCAGGGTGAAAAGCTCATTAACAATCAGTTATACTTTGGAACAAGCAGAGAGGGTTTTATTCCAGTTGTCTCCCTCTCACCTGTGCTGTAGCATCATCCTTAGCTCAGACTGAATCACTGCTTTCCTCCTTTCTCCCTGGCCTCACCAACAGCCTGAAGGCACCCAGGCAACTATTTGTTACTAGCACGGGGAGAGTGTTTGTGACCTGTTTGTCCTCAGCTCCCATGTCTTCCTCAGGTCACCTGAATGTGTGGAAGTTTCTCACAGTTCTTGCTGGGAGCTGCCAATCCACACCAACTGGTGAGGAGTGGTGCTGCCAGGCAGAAGCCTAGAGCAATCCCGCTCGTATGGTTCCCTCAGATGGGTACCATCCATCCAGACAAACCTGGCTGACAGGCAGAATAACCCCCAGCTTTGCCATGGTGTGAGGAGGAGAGTGGTGCTCACCACAGCTCAATGGGGAATAGCTAGAAATGTGTGCTGGGCCTCTGGGAATGAAAAAAAGGGATAGTGCAGAGAAGATGAGTAAGCGCATGCCCTACAGGGAGGCTAGAATTGCAAAGACTGCATCCAAAGGACAAGGCTTGCTGACAGATGGCACAGACAGGTTAGACATTGCTGTGAGTGATATGGAAAGAGGAAGAGAGCTGTGAGACTGCTTTCTGTCCCAACCACCAGCCACCAGTGCAAGCCCTCTCATACTCTCCTTCCTCATGTTGCAGGCAGCTCTGTCCGAGTTCAGTACATACATCCTGGGCAGAGGCAAGGATTTACAAACAGGAGCTAAGTTCCCTTCGAAGAACAATTTGAGGCTAGATGTTCCCACTGGCAAAAACATGAGCCATTGAGTGAGTCTCTGCATGGCAGGGTGTTATGTAGCTATCAACTCCTCTTCAAGTCTCATAAAAACTGTATGTCCTGGGTAATGCTCAGTCCCATAGATGTGATCTGCTGTGATAAGGGGAATAACTCTTTCTTGAGATGATTTTAAAGGATAACTATGAATTTATTTAAAGCTACATACCAAATCAGATGCGTGGGCCTCATCGGACTCAGCAGCAACAGCACCGTTTGCCTTCTGTCACAGACTGCCGATTTGTCAGTGTGGGCACCACGCCAAACCATCCCTGCGATAGCCCAGCTGAAGCCGATGAATCTTCACCTGGGCTGGACTCAGCCCTGTCCTTCCTCCTTTGTTTGCATACTTTGTCTTGTCTGGTTTGTGCTCTGCAAGGCTTGGGGCAAGGCAGCTCTACCAGATCATTCCTTTCCCCCACGTACAGGCAGTCAGATTCAGTCTACAGCAGGGAGAGCTGGATAAGAAATGTGCCTGTGAATGGGATCTTGTAAGATGTACCAGCAGTGGGAATGTGACAAGGACACTGGTATAAAAGCCAGAGCTGATGCTAGGTGCTAGGGTCTCTTGTACCTGCTGCAAGAAAATATGCCATTGCATACTCCAGTTTTAATTCATACCCATCTGAATTAGAGCATCAGATCATACTGTTAAGTTAAAAGCACCCACACGGCATGATTCAGATTTAAAGGATCTGTTCCCCCCTTTGAAGCTCCTGCTAATTCAGAGGAAATCTGTAGAAACAGCAACACTTCATCCGCCCGATATTGGTGGTTGTGAAAAAAAGACTCAAACTCTCCCTCTCTGTATTTCTTTTTCTCCCTCACTTGCACTTTATATTCTATTTCAAGGTCCTGCTTGAGGCTGTAATTGCTGCAGAGCTCTTGGATTCAACTAGTTGTCACACAGCCGTTGTTCCCCATCACCATGCTAGGATCTGCATGACTGTGCTGGTTTGCTTGTAGGCAACCCGCCTGGGGACAGCTAGGTTATTCTGTCAGGGAGACCCTGCACCATTTCTTCTCCTGTGGCACTAAGCCTTACTTCAGCAACATGATGCTGGGAATAGAAGAGAAATTAAGCCAAGAAATTAGGATGCACTTCATTAAGAAACACACACACTTTTGCTTAGCCCAGTGTGCACTAGGCTGGGACCAGGTACCAAAGCACTACTTCTAATCAACACTTTTCTGTCAAGTGCTATTCATATTTTTGTGCTTTTGTAGTGGCTTAGAAGAAATCTAAATTGCTGTGGTATCCCCTTGAGACAGGTGGATTTTCGAATGAATCCATTCCTCACACTGGCCTACTTTATTTCTGATTGATGCTGTGTGGTGCAGGATTTGAGGCTGGGGTGATCAGAAACATCTGCTCTGGCCTGGCAAATCTACAAAAGACAAAGATGAAAGGTCATGCGCTCACTCTCCTGGGGGTTTTTTGTGGGATTTTTGTTGTTGTTGCTGTTAATTTGTTTGTAACTCTAGTGTTTAGTGGGAGGGAGGTGTCAGTACCTCAGTACAGTCACTGTCCCCTTTTCCTCTACCTTGTTAAACCTCTGACTCTCACTTGACAGCCTGACTCAGCACTGATCCCCTAATACTTACCATTCACACTTGGAAGCATGTTGCAATTGTGATTTCCATCCTATCACTTTGGACAAATATTTACTCTTCCTTTCTTAACTTGTGTTTGTCTTTCTCTCTCTTGCATATTCCTCCTTTCATCCTCTCCTCTTTTTTTTCTTCCCTTAGCGGTGGGTGTACAAATTAAGCTGGAGTTGCTCCAACACAAGTTTTGGATGGCCACACAACAGGTAGGAGCCATCAGCAGTCATGCATAGAGAGAATTTAATACTCTTCATCAGCTAGGTCAATGCTATGTTACATCACATATGATGGCATTTTGCTGAGGGCTTTTGTGAAATTCATATTAAAAGATTTATGAAGTAGATTAGTTTGAAATCACACATTTCTGTAATCCTTTGACGGCACTAATGCCATGTGAGCTGTGAGTCTGTTTTGCAAATGCCATGTTGACAGTGTCAGCATCCTGGCCTGGCATTAGCTCTGCTGCATATGACACATTTAATTGTGGAAATATGTTTGTGCTCATTCAACCTTTCAGAAACCTCATGGAAATCTTGCAATTTTGAGCATACATAAAAACTATCTACTGCCCTCTCTTACATCTTGATAAAGGTAACAAAATGCTACCAGCTTGCTAAAAAAAAAAAAAATTATTTGCTCCAGGGATAAGCTTTCAGTGTTATCCTAATTTTGGGAACTATTGCTGGAAAAAGCAAGAGGAAAACTCCAGAGTTCGCCACAGGGGCAGGAGCATCCTTGCAGGTGGGAGATCACATAAACTTAACCTGAGCTAAAAAGACTTCTGCAAAGTATGTGAGCACATCCTGAAGCATCAGCAGAGAGCTTTGTTTTTAAAAATCTCCTGAGGGCCATACCCAGGCAGTTCTCACACAAACAAGCCCCCATTGGGATTCAGTGAAACTGGGAAGACTTATTAAAGAAGCTGAAAGGAGACCTGTGTGCCAAGTGCCTGCATGTTGCAGCCCTGGTAGGTGCTGGCATGAAAAAAGCCTGCGTATGGTTTCCCAGGACTTGACTGCCGTTTGACAGAGGAATGACTAACAGATTTTGTTTTCTCTCTCTCCTGCTTCACCACATGCTGTGCCGCTCTGGATGTCCACGCTGTGCCTCCCATCTCCTAGCCCAATGACAGTGATGTAAGTAGACAAAAGCTGGGGACAGGGAGGCATCCCAGCGTGCCTCGCCACAACTCAGCTTCGTAATTGTGTCATTTGTGTGCCAGTGTATTTTAGGCACTGTCCCTTGTCTGTAGTCACTGGAGACAGTCCAAGCCTGTCGTAGGCTGTGTTTGTCTTCCCAGTAATTAAGTGTCTTTGGCAAAGCTGAAAGAGCTCTGGGTCACAGCATTCCAGAGACCTGACCAACAGCAGGAAGAAGCTGTGAGGTAGGCTGGTCTCTGAGGAGGGAGCTATGCCATAAGGCAGTAGATGTGGTCTCAGAGCAACTGGGAAGCTCAGGTTCAGCTCTGCTCCCCTCCACAGGGGCTCCCTGCAAGCTGTCAGTGCCCTCAGACAGGGCTCCTCACCATGCTCCTGCTGCTGCATGGCCAGTCCATTACCAGGCACTGCTGGAGCTTCTCCATGTCTGGAAGAGCAGTGGTGGAGAGACTCAGTCCTCACACTGCTGAGGAAGATGCTATGAGACACGGGCCCTTCTTGTGAGAAACCACTCTGTTTTACCTGGGTTTCTGCTCTGATTTCTGAG